GCACGAATCCGATGAAATTGTCTTGACGGTTGTAATTTCTTAGATATTATATCGTGTTGTTGATGTTATATTTACATGTTTTATTTATTGTTTTTTAGTCGTGATGTGTTTTTATTTGTTTTTTGCATATGGTTTGTTGTAACAGATGCTTTTAATGAAAAAAAACTCTGATATTAAAAAAGTGCAGATAGTTTGCATACATTATTTATGTTGACGAGCTAGTAGCACGAGTGGGTAAATTTTTCGATTGTGTTCGGCCTGACGGTATAAACCACACTTTCTTTCTAACTTGTCAAGATCATCCATCTCAGTTGTGGTACGCTTGCTTTTAGGATGAACCTTTTTATTCCTTCGTATTTGGTTGTTGTGCCAAACTATTTCCCCTTTGTATGCAGGCCAATAATCAGGTTTCGCTACCACTGGAAAGCCATTGTTGTATATGTTGAGCAAGGTCTCGGACTTGTAAATTGGAGATAAAAGTAGTAATGCATCTTGATGAGTATGCATACATGCTGCAATGACATGAGAGCAAGGCATATGAAAGGCTTGAAACTTTCCATAATCGCACCAACGAGACGGTAGTATAACCCTATACTCTTGTCTTGGAAGCCCCTCGTTATGGTCGATTGTCTCTTTGATAATGAAGTTGTGGTTATGTCGGTTGAACCGTGATACAAGATGGGTGATGGATTTGGCACCCTCTGCCTTGATAAATTCCATGCAGCTTTCACTCCATATTGTCCCGATTGAAACACCGCGTACCACGTTTCACCTCTTTTTGCAAACAACTCGGCCATCCTAAAATATGTTGATTTCACCAAAGCGGTTACTGAGAGGTTTCATATGCCTTTGAATACACCGTTCATTGATTCAATAAGATTTGTTGTCATATGGACCCATCGTTGTCCATTTTCGTATGACCTTGTCCATTTCTCCACTGGAATATTATTAATCCACCTACCTGCATCCGAATTTGACAATCTGATCTCGTTGTGATAGTGTTTGAACGAGGTCTGTGTTAATGCATACCCCACATTCATTATTGTTTTTTAAGAGCCTTGTCTTTGATATCCCTCGTGAAATTTTGAACGATATGTCTAATGCAATAGACATGCGTAGAAGGGGGGTCATGCCAACTATTTACAAGATTATTGTATGCACTCTCAATAGATGCATGTCTGTCGGAAATCAAACAAAGATCAAGTTGTAGAGCCACGTGTGTTCGAAGATTCTTGAGAAAGAAACTCCAATCTCCACCAGTCTCGCCCTCGACTAGAGCAAAGGAAATTGGAAAAATGTTGTTGTTGTCATCTTGTGCAACTGCCATCAGTAGTTTGCCTTTGTATTTCCCGTACAACCACGTTCCATCTATCTGGATAATAGGTTTGCATGACGCAAACCATGTGATGCAAGGTTGAAAAACCCAGAACATTCGACTAAATATTCCATTCCCGTTGACAGAAGTATTGTCTGGGGCATACGCCGGCGATATTTCCATAATATAAATAGTTCTAGGGGCATACGTATGAAGTGCATTCATGTAGCGAAGTAGTTGTTTATATGACTCCTCCCAATTTTTATATACCTTTTCAATAGTTGTTGTCTTTTCTAACCAAGCTTTTCTGTATGACGGAGTATAATTATATATCGTAATGATGTGAGAGATTATAGTTTTCACCTTCAATGACGGATCATTGTTGATGAATGGTAGGATTTCCAGACATATTAGATCATAACTTAATTTACGATGATCTTGTGATTGAGTAGAATTAATGCATGTGTGAGTGGATATAGAACCTATCACCCAACAACCACTTCTCAACCTGTATGATGCAGTGAGCCTGAACATACAATCTGTGTGAGTACACCTGAGCTTGTACCTTTCGAGATTTACCCGATCAACCTTAAAGTCGACAGAGTTTACCATGTGAAACTTTTTTATAGCTCGCATGCAATCTTCTCTTGAGCGAAATTTTTAGTTCTCTTTTATATTTTCATCTGATTGCACGTACGGGTTGAAAAAAACATCAGATGGCGGTTTATATTTGGCCATGTTGAAGTTTGTCATGTGTGTAGGTGGTGTGTAGATTTCATTTGGAGGTATTTGAGGTGCCGCATCGTCTTCAGAGTCATCGTTGACCATGTTGTCAAACTCTAACTCTTCATCTTCCTCTTCTTCGTCAAGGACATCTACTTCTACTTGTTCGTCTTCGAGAGGATCATACGCTGCCACCTACTCTACAAGTAGGCATATCCCACGCCAGTTTGAATGGCGCATGCATTCAATATTTCATGTTGTTGCCAACTTGGATGGCGCCTTGGTGACACGTAAAATGCATGCATCCAATCTCCAACCACCTCACTAACTCACATCTATACGAATTCGCCTATAAATATGATGCCACAGACACTTGTTTTGCATCACCAATCCACACACTCTCTGATACTTGTTTTACACTGTCTTTACAATTTCAAATATGGTTCTCCTAACAATGGGCGACTCTCACAAAGACACAAAAGCAAACATTTAGGCGTTTGTAAGTTTTTATATTATTTATACTTTTTGTTAAATTATTGATTCATTCATCTTATAAACTCCAACACTATTTAAATTTTGAATTTAGGATCCTAAAATATTTAGAATTCGTTCACACCATTATATTGAGTTAGACCCGTTAATCATTCCATATCTAGAATATGTTGGTTTTAGAAATATTATAAAAATCTCAAATTGCTCGATTGACTCAAATTTATACTTGCAATATTAGAAAGGTGGAGATCTGAGACACACGCATTTCATCTATTAATAGGTGAATGTACCATCACTCTAGAGGATGTGTACGTGTTATTGAGTCCCTCTATTGAAGGTAAGGTGGTGAATGAGTCGGTTCAACAATCCAATTCTCTATGTGAGACATTGTTGGGCAAAGATATGGTGAAAGCAATTGGTGCTAGAGGCCAAGGTATATTACTAATTGTACTTAGAAAGCATTATGAGACTCTTGAGTTGAATGAAAATTTTATCGAGGAAGAAGTAACAATTAAAGCTAGAAATTATATTATGCTACTGTTTGGAAGCCTGTTATTCCCTGAAAGTACGGGGAATATTGTATTTGAGAGTACAAGAAAATATAGTTGGGGTTCTGTTGTTTGAGCTCATCTATACAGTTCATTATTTAAGAACGCATCAAAAGACAAATGTGTTTTTTATGGATGCACTTTCTTGCTTCAAGCATGGGTTGGTGGAGAATGGAGTCCCTTAACTCCGTCAACAACAATGCATTCACTTTCCCCTACGCAACAAAGTAAGTCAACATTTTCAATAATTTTTTATTCATCTCTTTGCCAAATATATATATAAAAAAATAATTATTTTTTCCATTCCTTTAGGTACTTTGTAAGGGGTATGGATTATAGCAAAAACCCAAGATTCAATGTCACTTTATATCGTAATCTTTTGGATCATCTTGGCTCGAATGACGTACGTAGTACCTCTAAACTTTCCTATTTTTAAATTATTTATTTTTAAAGTTTTCTATCTTCTAATTAATTTTTATCCACAGTTTATCTAGAGACCATATTTAGGTTTGGAGCATGAACCCAATCCCAAGGATTCAACAGTTTGGACGACAAAGATTGCAATCACACGGTTCAACATTATGGAGATGGACCACATCGATCGTGTCAAGATGCAGTTTGGAATGCATCAAGAAATACCATCCAATCCGACTTGTTTGTCACCTTGACATCTCAAAAGGGTGAACGCCCAATGGAGTGTTAATAATTGGAAAGAGTTTGCTCTAGAATGGTGCAAGATGTGGGCTAGGTGTCACCTTCATGTCTTACAATTTCCTGTTTTTCTCAACCAAAGTAATATGCAACACATAGATCAATATATTGATTGGTACAGGTCGATTACTAACCATGAAATCCATGTGTCTCACCCGAGGTATTTGTTCGATCCACGCACACAATAGACACAATCCTCAAACCCCCAACAACAAACCCAACAAACATCAACCTCCCATCAAACACCACTTCGACACAGACCCCAACCTCAATACAAACCTCAATCTCAATCTCAATACCAATACATCCATATGTCTCACACCCAACCTCAATCTCAACCTCAAAACCAGTACACTCATATGTCTTACACTCAACCTCAATCCCAACTTCAATCTCAATCCCAACTTCAATACCAATACACCAAATGCCCCACACACAATTCCAGTAATCATATAGTTATTAATGAAAATCAAACTTATGCAATATCATATTGCACTTGTCTTTAATTTAAAATAGAAAAAAAAATCACTTTGCCCCTAAAAATACTTAGCATCATCTGAGATGGCTTAGGACAAACACAATGCACCATTTCAATTGACGCATCCTTAGAAAAATTAAGTACATCCGTCAATTAACGCAACCATTTCGGAAACATGATTATTTGTGTATTTTTTTATTGCAAAAACAATCTCAAAATATAAACCACGCCTATGAAATTATATCTAAATATTCTCCATAAATAAAATTATAAAATTAATTTTTTATTACATTAGTAAGTAAAATTCTGAACAAAAATTTAAAAATAATAATTTATCATTTCTAGAGCGACTTTACAAGTTAAATGATACTAAAAAAACAATTTCAATAACATTTATAAGGCAAAGCCAATATCTATATCGCAATGACTTTAAAACCAACTTTTATTTTCTAAACAATTGTGTCTAACATTGTCTTAATAAGCAAAAACAAATAAACACATGTTTGCTTGAAAAGTGAAAAAAATCATCACTGCATTGGAGAATTATGTTGCTGGATATACCGTTTTTAGAAAAAAAATTGCACTAGAGTGACCAAAATACTCGAATATCCCGATACTTTCCGAAGTCTACATAAATTTGTTTCTAACGGTGTCTTAATAAGCAAAAACAAGCAAACAGAAAACAACATGTTTGTTTGAAAGTGACAAAAATCAATTGCGTAATACAACAACTCTATTGATCTCCAGGAAGTGACTTGATGATATCAGAATCACCTGTAAAAGAGAAATATAATAAATCAAAAACTAAAACATAAATTTATTTCTTGTGCAAGAATAAGAGTTAAAAGAATGATCTAATACCAGGATCAACTATGCTGAGACAGCACACTCTGTAGTACTTTCCACAAGCAGTTCCGAGATCAACATTGTCTAGGAAAGATAACGTTGTTAAGAGATTTGAAAAGAACAGAACTGGTATTAATACATGATAGCAGCAAAAAAGCATCAACCATAAACAATTCAATGAAAAAATATTATTATAGAAATCTCCAAATTCTAATGTACAATAACTTTACAAATCAAGTGAAAACTTTAATATGCTGTAAACATTTTGGTAGATATATGCAGTTATGCACTATCCTCAAACCTCAGAAAAATAATTCACTTTCATTAAGCAAAGTAAAATCAGAATAAGACTACTGAAACTTAAAAGTCATAATTGGAACCAACTATTGGAAGTTTTGGCCTATGTTATTTAGTTGAAAATGCTTTTAAACAGTTATAGTGGCACAAAAGAACTAATGTATAGCAAAACATTATCAATCCTCTGGCTATCTGTTATTGACAAATTGATGCAAATAGAAAAGAAAGATGATACTGTCAAAAAAACACAGCAATAGAAAAGAAAGATGCTAAACACGGTGTTTTTCAGTTCAATGCCACATTGCCACTCCCTTCCATAAAAACAGAACAGCATATTACAATAAACTATTGAAGAAACATGAATTTACTGTTAATCGGCTAAACTCCAAAATGACATGGCGTGACTAGATAGAGAGGACTTACTTCCATTATAGTGATGAACTCCAACCTTCGCCAGCATGGCGTAGTACTCAATTTCAGATTTCCTCAATGGTGGGCAATTGTTAGCAATGATAATCAATTTACCTACAAACAATCAACGAAAGTTTACAACAATCAAAATCCAGACCCACAATCATAATAACGGGTTTAATTAAATCTTACCGAACAGAATAACACATTTCTGTAACCCAAAACACTAATTCCTAACAGAACAGTAAAGCAACTATTTCCCTATAACATATAACAAAAATCAAATTCACACAGATTTCAGAGCCTAAACACTTGATTTTCATTCTCTTCAAATCTAAACAAAATAGCAACAAAAAAAAAAACAATTTTCTCACATCAATCATTAAAAAAACAAATTCAACAAAAAACACAAAAATTTAATTGCAACGAATATCAAAACAGAAAGAGTAATAATCAGATCAGATCAATAAAAAAGCAAAAAATTAAAATTAAAATTAAAAAAAAATCACCTTTTGAGCTCCTGAGAGATTTGAGAACAGTTTTATAACCCAAAGTGTATTTCCCACTCTTCATCACAAGAGCGAGTCTGTTGTTGATAGACTCATGGGTCTTCTTCTGCAAATCAAAATCAAAAAGCGAATCAAAAACACAATTCTAAAACGATGGAGCTAATAGGAAAGAATCAAAACGTAAACAAAAACGGATAATGATTGAGAACAATACGGTTTTCTTAGCAGCCACCATTGTTGGGTAGAATATTACGCTAAAATTCAACCAGAAACCCTAGACTACGCAAAACCAGAACTTGGTGAAGATGTAATTAGGGTTTTGCCGATTTATTTATCGCTTGTCTGTTAATTGGGCTTTACTTCTGGTATATTAGTTGGGCTTTATTAACTGGGCTAGTTTCGCTATGGGATAAAAAAATATAGATTTTAGAGATTTTGTTATGCCACCCCCAATAGCTCTATTTTTCTTATTGATCAAAATATCCTTCTTATTATTTATTTCATATTTGATGATAGACTTAAAAAACAAATTTAACTCTACTAGTATTTGAGAAAAATCATGTAATAACACATAGGTTTTGGTAGTTCATATCTGATAGGCTTAAAAAAAACGAAGTTAACACTATTAAATTTTTTGAAAAATCTGATAAAAACTCATAGATTTTATTTCACCTAAAAAATGTGCTTCTTATTATTTACTTCATCTCAAAATAACATTTGTTCAAACAAATCAAGTAAAAATTCACAAATCCCCCAAAAAAATCTTGTAAAAACACAATTTTTCTAAAAATATGATTAAAACTCGTATATCTCCCAAAAATTCGATTGTATATTAGAAAATTTGGTAGTTCAAATCCGATTAAAAAAAATGTAATTTTACATCCAATTTTTTGAAATATCCAATCAAACTCATAGATCCTCGCAAAAATTAAGTGAAAACTCAAAAATTTCTCAATAATCTAGGAAACACTTTTTTTTTTTTTAATATAAAAAAATCACAAAGGATATTATGGTAAAAGCACTACTACACGGGGTGTCAGGACAAAATCTCCAGATCTTTGAACAAACAAAATAGATGGGGTTACTTTTCCCACCCTAAGTGTTACTTCCCACCCTTGTGAAAAAACCCAAAATGCTCCTCAAATTTGGAAATGCATTTTCAGATGCACTCCTATCTCAGGAAAATCCGAAAATATATTTTTTAGAAACTACTATTCTAACAAACCATAAACAAATGCAGATGCAAAAAATGTAAGATAAAATAATATCAATCATTGTCATGACATGCATTAAAAATGCAACATTACATAGATAATCGTTAATGTAAATTGATGTGTTCGCAAGTGCACGGAAATATCGAAGTAATATAAAAGAGTGTCGAAACTGTTGGAAATCCACCAATACACTATGATGAATTTCGACCACCACTTGATGATAAGTTATGAAACAAACAAATAAAAGAACAATGGAGATATTTCTGCAGAATTTCTATTCTGCCCACAAACTGTGGAATCTTTATTAATTCACTTTGCAACTGCAAAATACTATGAATGAGTTCAATGACTTGAATACAAAATAAGGGTTACTCCCTCTTATTTATAGATTTAGGTTAGCTTGCTCCCTAAGCTAAACCCAAGCCCAAAATATCTCTTTACTAAATCAAATCTAATCTAGATTTAAATTCAAATCTATTTAAATATAAACAAATCAAATCTTATTTTGACACCTATGAATTATAATTTAACACACCACCTAATTCATTGTGTCTAAACTGTCTATGTTCATCATGGCCTTTAGCTTTCTGAATACTTCGACTTGCACTCCCTTCGTCATGATGTCTGCAATCTGATTCTCAGTTCTGCAGTGTTCCAAATTCATCTTCCCATCTGCTACCTGCTCTCGAAGATAATGGAACCTCATTTCGATGTGCTTACTTCGACCATGTGCTATTGGGTTCTTCGCCAGGTTGATAGCTGACATGTTGTCTATCTTCATGGTAATTGCTCCATGATTTTTCCCTGTTATCTCTTCGACCAAGTTCACCATCCAGGTTGCTTGGCATGCACAAAGAGAAGCAGCTATGTATTCTGCTTCGCATGATGATAATGCTACTACTGGTTCTTTTCTCGAACTCCAAGCAATTGTTGCACCACCTAGCATAAACACATATCCTGCTGTTGACTTTCGATCTTCAGCATCACTACACCAACTCGAATCAGTGTATCCCTCTAACTTGCATTCTTTTCCTTTATCAACTGCAGGAAACAGAATGCCATAATCGAAAGTTCCTTTGAGATACCTTAGTATCCTCTTCACAGCTGCTAGATGTGATACCTTTGGTTTCTGCATGAATCTACTTACCATACCTACACTGTATGCTAAGTCAGGCCTTGTATGACAAAGGTATCTCAATGATCCAATAAGTCTTCTGTATTGGGTTGGATCAACATCATCTTTATCTGCATCTTTCGACAGTTGCAATCTTGGTTCTGCAGGTGTCGAAGTTGAGTTGCATTCTTCCATCTCAAACCTCTTGAGAATTTCTCCTGCATATCTTCTTTGATGCATCATCAAACCTCTACTGCTTTTGTAGAATTCGATACCAAGGAAATATGAAATCTCACCCAAATCATACATTTCGAATTCCTTGCTGAGGTCAACTTTGAAGTCTTCGATCTCACTCTTGCAGCTACCTGTTATCAACAAATCATCTACATAGAGACATAGTATAAGCAATTTACTCTTGCTTCTTCTTACATATACTCCATGTTCAGTTATGCACTTCACAAATTCCTTCTCCCTTAGAAAACTATCAATTTTCTTATTCCAAGCCCTTGGAGCTTGTTTCAAACCATACAGGGCTTTATGTAGCCTATACACCTTTCTTTCTTCGTCATGTTTCACAAACCCAACTGGTTGTTTAACATAGACTTCTTCATCTAAGGGTCCATTTAAGAATGCACACTTCACGTCCATCTGACATATGTGCCAAGTGTTGATTTCTGCTAGACCAACAACCAGCCTGATTGTTTCGATCCTAGCAACAGGTGCAAAAACTTCGTCGAAGTCTATTCCTTCTTTCTGTAGAAATCCTTTCGCCATAAGTCTTGCTTTGTGTCGAGTTACTTCACCTTTCGAATTCGTCTTCACTTTGTATACCCACTTGACATCAATTTCCTTCTTGCCTTGAGGCAATTCAACAAGTGACCAAGTGTTGTTGTCTTCGATAGACTTTACTTCTTCGTTCATTGCTTTCACCCACTTCGAATCCTTTAATGCTTCAGCTGCATTAACAGGTTCGACATCTGCATAGAAAGCATAATGTACCAGCTCACCTTCATCATCTATTACATCATCTGATGTAATCACACAATCTTGCAATCTTGCAGGCATGCGTCTTGTTCTTTGAGGTCTGCTTGTACTGGGTATATCTGCTGGCTCCTCTTGTCGAACTTCTCTTTCGACTTGAGTTTCTGGCTCTTCGAATAAGATTCCCACTGAATCTTTCTTGACATTTGCAGTCCAATCCCGTTCTTTGAACTCATCTATGATCACGTCCCTGCTGATCACAATCTTCTTGTTCTCTGGATCGAACAACTTGTAGCCTCCTGTCGAATGATATCCAACTAGGATCATTTGACTTGACTTGTCATCAAGTTTCTTTCTCAACTGATCTGGCACATGTCTATGTGCAATAGATCCAAATACTTTCAGGTGACTTAAGCTAGGCTTCACACCAGACCAACATTCTTCTTGAGTAATTCCTTCTAGCTTCTTTGTAGGACTTCTGTTCAAAATGTATGTTGCAGTCGAAACAGCTTCTCCCCAGAATTCTTTGGGTAAATTCTTGCCTTTCAACATACTTCTCACCATGTTCATTATGGTTCGATTTTTCCTTTCTGCAATTCCATTTTGCTGTGGAGTATAGGGTGGCACCACCTCATGCACAATCCCTTCTTTTTCACATAATTTGTCGAAATCTTTCGACACATATTCTCCTCCACCATCAGTTCTCAAAACTTTGAGCTTTCGACCACTTTGTCTTTCGACCATGGACTTGAACTTGATAAATACTTCGAACACTTCACTTTTCTTCTTGATCAGGTAAGTCCATAGCTTTCAACTGAAATCATCTATGAATGTAACAAAGTATTTGTTACCTCCCATCGAATCCACCTGGATTGGTCCACATACATCAGAGTATATGACTTCGAGATTAGCCTTCGATCTGCTTCCTGCATCCTTGCTGAAGCTGTTCTTGTGTTGCTTCGCTTGCACACATTCTTCACATACTTCGTTTGGAATGTAAATTTCAGGCAATCCTGAAACCATATTTCTTCTCTTCAAATCTCTGATGTCTCTGAAGTTGAGATGACCTAGTCTATAATGCCATATCCATTCATCTCTGCTAGCTGCAGTCGAAAGGCACTTGTGCTCCATCACGTTTAGTTCAATCTTGAAGATTCGATTCTGAGACATAGGAGCCTTCAAGATTAATCTCCCATTTGCATCAACGACTCTCATCAACTTATCTTCGATTGACACTTTATAATTCTTTTCGACCAACTGCCCTATACTGAGCAAATTGCTCTTCATGCCTGGTATGTACAATACATTCGAAATTACTGACTTCTTGCCATCTTTCCTCATGATCATAACATCACCAATACCTTCAGCTGCTAGTGTGTTGTCATTTACAAATTTTACCATATTCTTCGTTGAGGGTTTTATATTGACGAACCAGTCTTTCCTTTCAGACATATGTGATGAACATCCTGAATCCAAGTACCATTGGTCCTTGAATCTGTTTTCATCTCTTGTTGTGACCATTAGCATCATCTCTTCTTCTTCTTCATGTTTTGCAAGCTTTGCATCACTTTCTTGATTCTTTCGTTTTTCTGGACAATCACTTGAATAGTGACCATACTTCTGACAATTGTAACATTGAATGTGACTCTTATCAGGTTTTCGACCACCACCTCTTCCTCTGTTTGCATCACCACCTCTTTGGTTGCCGTGGTGTGGTCTTCTTTGATTCGACACGTCTCCTTCGATTTGGTTTCCTCTACCATTCGATTTGTTGTAGCCACCTCTACTTCTGTCGAGATACTTTCCTTTGCCTTTGGTTTCTTTTGTTGAATGTGCCTGCAAGGCTACATCACTCTTCGATTTTCCTGCAGCTCTTTCGTTCATTCTTTGTTCATGAGATTCGAGCGTCCCTTGAAGCTCTTCCTT